TAGAAAAATTAACCAGTATCTAATTTAATATCCATAAGTATTTTCCTTAGATTTTAGTCCTATACAGTGGGTTATGTGGACGTCACCTTGCTTCAACCATACTCTACCACTAGGTGTCACTGTGGCTCTGCACCAGGCTTGTCTGGTGGCAAAGAAAGGCAGCAGGTTCCCCTGGAGGAGCCTCTCCCAGGGCAGCAGGCAGGCCCAGAGGGTTCAGGAAGGAGGGGACAGGCCTGCAGAGGGGTCTTCACATATCTGTGCCCATTGTGGCGAGATAAGCTCTTTGAACACTACCCGCTTTGGACCTTCAGCCAGGCAGAGGACGGGAGAATTGACTAGAACTCCCTTGCTCTGGTGGATGGGTGGGTATGAGGAAGCCTTCTTCACTTGCCGTGAGCATCCCTCTCAGTTCCTCTTGGCCTCCAACTTTTGTAACTCCAGAGATGTCACAGTTGGCTGGTTTAATTCAAAAATTGTTATTTTTCTACTGCAGAAATGCCTTGGACAAAACCAGTTGCTCACTGAATCTTTGCCACAAAATGGTACAGGCTTCCCCGGGGGGCGGGGAGGGGGGGCAGGATGTTCCCCCCTCCCTGTCCCGGCCTCTCCCACCCTGTCTGTCCTTGGGCTGCCCACTTCTCAAGAAGCCAACTTGCAGAGGCAGCCTGCTGCTGCTTCCACACCGAGGCCCGTGCTGCCCGGGGCATGCACGTCGGGAGGTGTGGCTTTTTCTCCTTTTCCTCTAGGAATTCCAGACTGACCATCTACCATGACTAACAACAATGAACAAAGGGCTTAGGGGTAAGAGCTACCTACAAAGACGTGTCATGGAAACCTTCACCATGCAATGCCTTGAACTCAGCTCTGGCTGCTCCCCAGAAAAGGCGGCTGGCTGGGGGCCTGGACACAAGCACAACGGGAACGGTAGAGCCACTGTGCAGAGCTACTTGAATAATCACTGGGTCTTCATCAACTCCGTTTCTAACACAGACCACTGAAGGGCTGAAGTGTTGGTAACCTGCATTTGGTGTCCAATGCCTCACAGCTGCTGAGCCGCCCTGAGATGCTTGTGGCCATGCGACGGCCACGGTCAGAGCTTTGAAAGTCAGTACCAAATGAATGCGTAATTGGACACCAAAAATCAAGTGTTACTTTCATGTTTCCTCACCCATATCATCTCACTTCTTCCTGCCGACTCTGATACTCTCCACGAAGCTGACCTGCCAGGTTTTAGCTGAACGCGTCTAGATGCAGGCTGGCGTCACTCTCGTTTTTCAGACAGACCTACTCCGTGGAAAGGAAGGAGCCTAGCTGCTTTGTTTTTGTAGCACTTACTGGCTGGATTTTTCTTTTGCCTAATCACTAACCAGAACCAGAACCACTAACCTGGTTAGGGGGACTCCACTCCATCCCTTGGGTCCCCAGGACCAGACAGACTGTAAATTCTGGAAATTCAGTACTTGAATGTACCTGCCTTATTGTGTACCAGCTGACTGGAAAAAAAAGAGTTAGAAATGCCGGCTCCAGATCTCTCCTTCATTCACAGGTTATTTTGGAAATCTTGTAAGTTACACTTCCTGTTCCAGTTTGTTTTTGTTTTTGTTTTTTCCTTTGGCTGATTCCTGCTGAGTGGGGCCAGTTCCTCATCGGGCTCAGGGCAGGTGCCATCCTCAGGCATGGCCTCCTTTCCATTTAGTGCAGCATATCCGTCTCTGTTCTGTCTCCTCCAAATCCAAGATGATTTTAATTAGTACAGACATGTACAGTCTACAATTAAAGAGTGATTTGTACTAATATGATTTTGATTCCTCCTCCTCTTTGCTGTCCTTTCAAGACACTTGCTGGAAAAAGCTTTAATGCACTTAGTTTTCCTTTAGGTTTTCTATGACTCAGATGTAAAGGACTTTCTCTGTACAGTATATTATCCAATGCATGTTTGTTCTCTCTCCCGATATATTGAACACCACACAGTTGTGAACTCGTGCAGTGGGGATGTCCCACACCCAACAGAGGCATCTAGCCCCTGTGTATAAGGAAAGACCTTTTCCTTTGCTGTACTTGCTTGAGCAGTTGTATTGTCTGTACATGTGAGCTGTGTGAGATAGATGTGAAAAGTTAAATGAATGCATTTTCCTGCCCATGTGTACAGATCGCCATCCGTACAATGAACTGTATGTATGAAAGCAAATGTACTTATTTATAAAGGGTAACACTTGGAAAAACACGGTGTTGTGGTGCTTTCTCCTTGCGGTACCGTGCGCCTCCCGAGAGCTGCCTGGAGCTCGCCCTCCCCTCACGGTCCCACAGTGCTGAGGAGGGACCTCGCTGAGCCTCCCCCGGGGACAACCTTCCCCAAGGTGAAGGCGGAGGCCAGATTCCTGATGATCCGGTTGGTCTCCCGTGGGACATGCACAGTCACCCCTCCAGGCTCGTAGTCCTTCAGCGAGGTGACTGGGTACCGCCCTCGGAGCTGGGGCAGTGTGGTAGGCATGCGGCAGGCACTCAAGAGCTGTGGCTGAGGAAAGACAGTTCCGTGGGCCTGTCGGCGAACGCTTGCCGAACCCGCTGAGGGAGGCAGGCTTTTTCCTCAGTGGGTTCCTCTCCCGCCAAACCAAGGGAGCACTGAGGTGTCTTGTTTGATTTTAGTAGCTGAGCTGCAGGCCCAAGGGGAGGGGAGGGAACAGCCCTAGCTAGAGTTCCCCAAGCGAACTTGGTCGGAGCTGGAAGCCCACTGCTTCCACTGGCTTATTTTCTCTTCAGCAATCTGGCCAGAATTTCCCATCCTTACCAGCCAGAGAGCTAGGCGGCTGCATCCTAAGTGGAGAAGCTGCAGGTTTCCTGAAACTGGCTGGAGACTCTCGAGACCTTTTTTTCAAAAGCGGCCAGCCCGGAGTCCTGAGCCTTTTTTCCTCGCTGGTACCGCTCTGTCTACTGCAGGGACGAGCAAGGAAGGAGACTGCTTCCTCTAGACACCACATTGTGCTGAACAAACATCCCTGTTGTGCAACTACGTCCATTTCCCCAAAACAGCCAGAGCCGGGGAAGCAGGAAAACTCCAGGCACGCAGTTACCCCAGCCTGGATGCCAGAGTTACCTTCAAAGAGGACAGGAGAGGACTCTGGAAGGAACCACCTGCTTGGTCTGAAAACTTTGAGACCTCAAGGGGTTCCAAACCCAGTCAGGTGAGGGACACCCTGAGCCGGTGAAGGAGAGGGGAGGTCTCTCCTTCACGTCTGGGATCATTTGAATATTTCCAAACACGGAGACCCTGGATCCAGAAGCGAGCACAGAAGTCGGAGGTGACATGGGCCACTCACGGGGTGCAGGGGCTTCTGCCCTCACACTGAGAGCCAGCTGTGATCTTGACCGAGCCATTAGCTTGTGACATGTACCAAGCCATGTGTTTTGCATGCTTTAAGCAAATGAAGCTTCACACAGAAACCCTGATTCAGGAGACAGACTGCACAGAGGCAGAAACCAAAGACCTCTCAAGAATATGGAGAATAAAGTCAGTATCAGGAAGGATTCATGAAACCCGAGGATCACGCATCAGAGGATTTGCTGTAGGGCCCTGTTAGTGTTCTCAGTGACGTGTTAGGGTTCTCAGTGGAGCCCACAGAGCGTCCCCGTGTGAGACCCCGCCCGACTTCACCATAAACGCACCTCCTGCCTGGGCCTCGGGAATGGCTCTCAAGTAAAATCTCCACTTGTTCCCCAAGTTTTGCTCCTCCTCTGAAGGAATAGAGAGACATATTTTTAAAAGGCAGAAAGTTACTGGGGGAGAACTTCTTGCCGAGGCCCTTACCGGGCTCCAGCCTCCAGGCCACTCTCTCCGGGTTGAGAAAACGGTTTCTCCCCCACTGGGTCCACAGACCGAGCGGTCTCGGGACCATCTCCGAGCCTGTGTCCTGGCAGCACGCATCACTGTACCTTCTGTGCCCAGCCGGGGGATGTGCCGTTTGCCAAGCCTGGTAGAACTAACCTTGTTATCTGACTGTTCTAGAAGTACCTTTTTGTCGCCCAGTAAATGAAGCTAGCAGGCCAGAGATCTGCTGTAGACGTTTATTGAATCATCCGTTGCACCGACGCTACACCGCACTTCAAAGACTGGCCACAGGCAAAGTGAAATAAACCACGGGGGGCGCTTTCAGGGGGCCTCCAGAATGATCCAACAGACACTCGGGCCAACAGACCAGTTTACAGGTTTTTTCCAGAAATCTAAGGTTCCGTCTCTCTCTGGGGCGTCCTGGCAAGGGAGAGTCACAATTGCACTTGGGTTTGTCCAAGGGGGCGTTTCTCCACGTGAAAATGTCTGGCTCTACGGCGTGTGCCAGGCGGGGGGGGGGAACAGACGGGGTCCTGGTGCGGGCAGAGCGCGCCGTGTCACCGGCGAACACCCCGGCCAGGCGGGCCAGCTGCAGCAGGAAGGGGGCTCGGAGGGGACTGGGCCGCCCTGCTGGGGAAGGCTCGGGACCACAGCCACCTGCTCGCTGAAGTGGCATCGCCGGCGGCAGGGCTCAAGGCCAGAATGGAGTGTTCGCACCCGGAGCACGAGAGGAGGCCGGCCCCGCTCTCGAAGGCAGCGCTGAGGTGAGGAAAAGGCAACCATCGAAGGAGCAGCGGTCAGGTTTGGAAAGCTCTTTGCATTTCTTCATTTACGTACGCGGTGTCTGTCTCACACTGTCGTGTTCCTCAAAGCCCAGAACAGGAGGAAAACAAGGAGAGAGCATTCGCCGAGTCCAGGAAGCACAAGGTCAATGCTCTAATCATCTTCCCTCTAGGCTGAAGCCGAAGAGTCACTCGGCGGCACAGAGCACGTCAGGCCGCTGGGAGGACGCTCCGGGTCCCCTCAGCCCCGACCGCCCGCAGAGACGGGCGCAGCGGGGAGAAGGGCGCTCTCCTCCGCACAGGAGCGGGCGGCCCTGCCTTCCCCGGGAACAGGGCAGCAGCAGCTGCAACTTTCTGCTTAAAAAAAAAAAAAAAAAAAAAAAAAAGACAGAAGCCCCGGGCCTGAGGTCAGAGCGAGAGCAGCGCCTAAGCCGGCTGCTGAGGGCGGGGAGCCTGCCGAGCCGAGCCCCAGCGCCAGCCCGCGGGCCATCTCGGCCTCCTCTCTCGGTGGCCCTCAGCCGCCAAGGACAGTTTGTCTCCAGCCGGGGCCCTGGCCCTCTCCCGGCAGAGCCGCCCTGGGGCTGAGGCCCGGAGAGGAGGAGGCTGAGCGCGCGGCTGGGCCGAAGCCACATCTCCACAGCTTCCCAGGGGCCCGCCCCTCCCCTCTCCAGGGGACCCTCGCTCTGGACACCAGCATAGTTTATACATAGTATCACCTGCTCCGCTGCCAAAGTCGGGGCCATTCTCACCACGTGTCATTCAGACGGACGGGACTCTGGTCTGAATTCAGCGTTACACAAAGCAAGTCTCGGCCTTGCCAGGCCTGTCACTAAGCCCCAGTTTCTCCCACAGCTTTGTGCTCTTGGCAGCCCCTGGACTCGGCCCAGCATCCGCTCCTCAAGAGGAGAGCCACTCTGCGTCTTCTTGAAGGATCTGTGCTTCTGTAGCCCGGACTGACCACCCAAAACCCTGCCCGAAGCGGCTCGAGTGGAGGGGGTGACGGTGACAACAGGGCCGGGTCCGCGCGTGACTAACGGGACTCTAAAGCAGCAACACGGAGGGAAAGCAGAGGAAGCCAAGCCCTACAGCCCACAACGGGGCGCTGCCCCCACGCGCCCGCCGCACTGGCCAGCCCTCCCCCGGAGCCACCGAGCCAGCAGAGCCGCGACAGAGCGTGGGAAAGTCGCCTACTCAACCCCCCCACCCCGAGCTGCGGCAGCCAGCCACAGCCGGGCCCTCCGTGCGGGACAGGCCGTCACTGGGAGCCGGGGCTGTCGCCTTCTGTCAGCGTCTTGAAGTCCATGGAGAGGGCTTGTTCCTCCGCCTGGGGTGGCCGCTTCCAGTCAGAGCGAGTCAAGATGTAGAGCACGGTGACCCCGAAGCCGACCAGCAGCAAGCCCAGCACGTTGGCCAGGACACCCTCAGCCTCAAACGTGCTGTACTTGGCCCTGCGGGTTAGGCGGAAGGGAGAAGCCCCCCAAGCCGTCACCGTCCGGCCAAATGCCCTCCGCACCCAGAAACAGCAGAAAGATGGCCTGGCATCCCCACCCCAGCCCCGCCCGTCCCCTCCCCGGGAGGAAAACCACTGCCTCGCTAACTCGCTACCTCGGGGGAAAGCCGCGGGGAGGAGGCTCACCCAAGTTTGAACAGCAGCGCCTCCTTCAGGCCCAGCAGGGCGGTGCCCACGGACAGGAGGAAGATGGCGGCGCCGAAGAAGACGTGCTGCGGGCGGTAGCGGCTCCGCAGGGAAAACGAAGCTCCGGGGAACAGGAAGAAGCTCAAGCCCACGAGCCACTGCAAGGAAAGGCGGGGGCTGCCAGAGACGGAGCTGGCCATCCGTCTGACGGAGCCCCGGACACGCCGACAGGCAAGGAAGCAGAAGCCCTGCGCCCACCCGTCCCGCTCCCTTCACCCTAAGAGCTTGGGTGCGGCCGCACAAAGTGCCCGGGCGGAGGTCCCGGCCGCGGCACCCCCAGGCCTTGGCCACACAGACGTGCTCTGAGGCACCCTCGCGGGGGAAATCCTGGCTTTTGCACCCATTTCAGAGTCCCCAGGCAGCCACCGGCGGTGCTAAAGCACCTCTTTCACTTTCAGGTACACGGCCTGGAAGTGGGCGCTGGTGGGACACCCGAGTCGTCACCCCCCCGCCCCCACCCCCGTCCCCGTCGCCGTGGACTGAGGCCTCACCTGCACGAAGTAGAGAACCAACACGAGGAGGCCACACCAGCTGTGCAGGCTGTACAGGTCCGCGTAGCCCTTCTTCCGGTGGTAGTCGAACACCGCCACCACGCCTGGGCCGGGGAGAGGGGCCGCGTGAGGACAGGGCTGCCGGGGAGGTGACCCAAGGGAAACCCGACTCGCTGGCACTTCTGGGATCTGGTCCCAGCTCGGTGGCTGCCAGCACCCAGTGTCCCAGCCGGGGATGCCCGGACACGCCACAGGGCGCTGGGGGGGGTGGAGGGCCAGGGAGGGGACCGTAACAGAACTGGAGTGGAGACCAGACGGATCAAGCAGCTACTTCCCCAAGTCCAAAGCAGGTGTGGGGAGAGGGGGCGCCTGTGCCAGGGAACTCACCCACCAAGGCGATGACGAGTGCGAAGACGTGCAGCAGCCCATGCAGGACCTTGGTTGTGCGTTTGGTCTCATTCCTGAAGACCCGGTAAACCAGCAAGGCTTATGGGGAGCGAGAAAGGGACCTTGAGGCCGGCCTGCCACCAGCACCAAGGAGACACCCCTTGGCTGGGGGGAGGCGGTCAGAATGAAGGGCTTGTCAAGGTCCTCCAGCCACAGCCAAGGGGAGAGAAAACAAGGCTCTGTGGGGCCCAGCAGGGGTGCCCGGATGTGTGTCCCCTAGCACCCCCGCCACCATCACTTCCTTTTCAAGTGTGCTGTGTACTCCAGGCTGTGTGGTCAAGGTCATCACACAGTGATGCCAAGGTGTCACCAAACTTCTGCGTTCACCTCTTAGCTATGATGCATAGTCCAGGATGGAAGCCTGAGCAGACACTCACTACCTTTACCAAGCAGGCTCCCTAGACATGGAGACAGGGAGCCCCCAGGTCCGAAGCTAACTCCCCACCCCGTCACTGCGCTGAGCCAGACAGACCCAGGTGGCATAGGGAATGCCTCTGCGGAACGGCTGCTGCTGGAGGAGTGGCTGTCACCAGGACCACCTCTAGGAAGAATGGGTCAAACAGATCCAGACTTCTCCTTAGCAGAGAGAAGGCCACAGAAGCAAGTGGGGGCCAAGCACAGCCTCACTCCTTCAGAAAGGAACTTCAGCTCTGCCAAGTCCAACACACACACACACACACACACATTCAAACCCACCCTCTTTCTCCCGATATCAAACTGTCCCCACAGAAGCTGGCCTCAGCTCACAGCCCAAACCCTGGGCTTCCTGCTCTAAGCAGCACACACACCACTGGATGCTCCTGTGGAAAGACCAGGACAAGTAGGAAAGGAGTTGCCACCCCCACACCTCAGGCCCCTGGATTTGGATGCCTGGTGTCCCCAGGCTCCAAGCCAGCTTCCTTCCTGTCTTTTGTGGAACCACCTCAGGACAAGAGTGTTTGTGCAAACAGCCTCTCTCAGGAGCGGCTCCGGGCGCACAGGCGGGACTCACCGTCTCCCTGCAGGAAGATCAGGCCTATGACCATGGAGAGCGGGTGCACGTTAAACTGCAGGGCGCCCTCCCAGGCGATGCCGCCCCTGTACAGACCGAGCCAAGCCCCCGTCGTGGCCACCACAGTCAGGCCCAGCAGCTGGGAGAAAGCCACGTAGTAAGGCAGCGCTCTGGGCGTGGCTGCCAGGCCGGCCCGACTGTCCATGCTGCGGCAGCTGCTGGAGGAGAGACAGACAGCTCAGAGCGCCACGCGCCACACCCTGGCCTCCCAACGCCCCACACCCCCTCCCCCCTCCCCCAGGCCCCTGTGCTAAAGCCGGCCACCCCAAGTCTCTAGTGCGTCGGCAGAGGTGCCCCGCTTCCCCGGAGACGGACCAGACACCGGCTGAGAGAGGCCACGAGGGTGCAAGTGAAGGTCCCCCAAATTCAGATGGGAGCAGGTGTAAAGCTTGCACCTGGCTTTACATTCGGTTTCATGAGGCCCTGGGTGTTCTCAGGGGGCTTCACAGACGAGGGACAGAGAAGTGAGGAAATCCCTCGAATGAACAGGGTTCCTCACTGTTTGTCCCCCAGGTGTGTCCTGAGGACATGGGGTGCATTCCCCGCCCCAGTGTGCAAGCCTGCCGCCCGAGATGAAGAGGAGTCCTGCCCTTCCCACAGCAGGCCCCCTGCTTATAGCTGGGATGTGCTCGGACCCCGCTTCGCCCGACACACGTGGGCAACAGGAGCAGCCAAGCAGCCTGCTCCCCCTGCGGCTGCCTCTTTCCCTCACCCGCCCTGCTCAGGGCAGGCCGATCTGCACTCCGGCTCACCTGACGCTTCCAAAACTAAAGTCACCAGAAATGAGCCCTACAGGGAATAGCACCTCGCGTGCAGGGCTCCTGGTGTGTTTCATACACGTCACTCCGCTCCCGGTGAGCCTGTGTGAGGCCGTAAGCAGGGAGTTACTGGACCCGTGCGACAGATGAGAAAATGGCAGTTCGGGGGTGTGTGTGTGTGTGTGTGTGTGTGTGTGTGTGTGTGGCGCATTTCCTGGCTCCTCTGCCCAGTCCACCCCTCTGGTAGTCTCCTCCCCACCCCGCCCTCCCCAACCCCCACCAGTTAGGACGGCGGCCTTCAGCCTCATGCCAGCTTTTCACCCTGAATCGGTTGGTTCTCCTGACCCAGAGCCCAGCCCTGGCCCAGACACCCAGGAGGGAGAGGCAGCCTGAGCACGAACAAAAGATGGCCTCCATCCGCCTTGACTTGCCACTGGAGTGTCCTGTGCCCACAGAAAGGTGCTCTCCCCGTCCCCAGTCCTGGCCTCGCCTAGCACTGCTGGAAACATCCCAGAGAAAGCCAAGCAGACACATGCCTAACAGGCTTACGGTCCCCTCCTCACAGCCAGCGTGTGCTCTTTCTCTACCCTGTACTGCGCAAGAACTTGTGTCCAGTCGGCCTGGTCTTCTACGACTACTGAGGAGGTTACCCCCCAGTTCTCTCTGCCATATCCGACAAATGTTGGCAACTTCACCATCAAAAAAAGTCAGTGGCAGTGGGGAGTGTTACTAATACACTTCTTTCAGTAAAATACAGATTAGCAAAAAAAAAAAGGGAAAAATTACAAGTAATCAGCATTTTCATGTGTGTCCTTATATCACTTTTTTCTAGAAATATATACATTATTTTATAGAAACAGAATCCTACTGATTTCTAACCTGTTTTAACTTCATAGTAGGTCATACTCATCTCTTCATGTCAAAGAAAATCCATCTACTTTACGCCATCATTTCAATGACGTCACAAGATTACAGGATACGGCTGTTCCGTGCTTTAACCAACCTGCTGAACCCGTTGTTCAACATTTAGCTAGCTCCCAGTTTTTTACTAAATAAACCATGCTATGTGATCATCTTTGCACATGTGTCTTATTAATTCCTCACTGGAGAACAGAGGTTTTTGACATTTTATCAAATCATCTTCCAAACACACTCCCACAGCAGGTAGCAACACCTGTTTCCAGAAGGCCTGGCGGACAACAACCCTCTGCTTCTGAAACTCTTGTCTCTGTATCTGTCACCTCTATACGGGTAACTCCTAAATGTAAGGCCCGTTCTGTGCTCTCCCCCAAATACAAACCCCATTTCTAGCCACCTACCATTCGTCTCCCCCGACAACCCACACACACTCCAAACGCAGCGCGTCCGAAGTCAACTCATCTCCCCTTGACGACCAAGCCCGCTCCTGACCGCGCACCTGGCAGACGTGGCCACCGAATGCTAGAGGATCTCCCCTGGGCCCCCCAACATCACTTCCCTCCTGGCCACCTTCCTTGCCACCACCCCAGCCAGGGCATGGGGCTTCTGCTCCAATCTCTACACCACCCTGCCGCCCCAGCCCACACAAACAGCGTCCCTGCCTGCTGGTGAAATGCCACCTCTGTAACACCATCCGAACTCCCAACTCCGTTTCCATGTGCGCCCCGGGTTTTCTTACCAAATCCACTCAGAGGAGACTCTCGCTTCCCCTACCACCCTCTGCCTCACACTTCCGGGCCTCACTCCCTGCTCCCCGCCACTTGCACACCCGCCCCCCACCTCCTCCATTCACCCTCCCCTCCATCCTCGGCCCACAACCTGAACCCCGCATTTCATTCATCTCTGGCGGGTATCTCTGCACCGCCAACCCCGGCCGGGGGTGCTCAGTTACCCCGCGGTGGTCTGCCTCCCGAGAAGCTCGCCTGCTCCCCTCTGCTCACCTGCCCGGGGAGCTCGCGCAAGGCAGGCCACACGTCCCGCTCTTCCTTGGATCGACTCCGGGATCTGTTGCCTTGCACTGACTCGAACAGGAAAGATCTACCAAACAGCTGCTGTCCCCGGGTCACCTGTTCTCAGTCCTCCTCCCCTTTATTAGATTCATCCCCAGAACGCCCGGGGCACAGTCAGAACCTGATTAGCTCTGAAGGAGAAAGAACACAGAGAACGTGCTCTGCGGCTGGTAGACCTGCCACAGCTTCCGCAGCCCAAGCTGAATGACCGACGACGGCAGTGGGAGCTCAGGGCAGCAAAGGAACTGTTGCTCCCGGATCTCGGAGCTACTCCGTGGCCAGGCCAGCCAGCCTCCTACTGAGACAGGCAGAAATCAAAGCCAGGGTCTCTGCAGAGCTGTGAGGTTGTGACTTAGAAGAAGGAGTATATAGGATGGAGCTCCTAAAACCCTTGGAATTTCCCAACCACGCCAGAAACCTGCCTTGTTAACGAGCCCTTAGATAACCGTGGCGAGGGCTGGTTGCCAGGGAAACCAACCACGTGATTGACGGCTGGAACCTTCCGTTCCACCCTCTCAACCTCTAGGGAGCTGAGAGGGGCTGGAGATGTGAGTTCCATCGCCAATGGCCAATGATCTAATAGAGCCTGTCCAAGTAATGAAGCCTCAGTAAAATCCAAAAGGAGCTTCCCAGAGGACGGCTACCCTAGTTCCCCGGGGACAGAAGCTCCTACGTTCAGGACCTTCGGGACCTTGCCCTAATGTTCCTCTTCCATCTGGCAATTCCTGAGTCATAGCCTTTTAAAACAAATCTACTAAGTAAAATGTTTCACTGAGTTCTGTGAGCTGCTCTAGCAAATTACTTGAACCCAGGGAGAAGGCCAGGGGAACTTCTCATCCACAGCAGGTGGGTCGGAGCCACAGGGGCGAACCTGGATTTGCAACTGGCATCCGAAGTGGGGAGCAGTCTTGCGGGACTGAACCCTTAACCTGTGGGCTCTGACACGATCTCCAGGTAAACAGTGTCGGGAGTGAGTTAACTTGCACGACACCCAGTCTTTGTCCGCTGAGAACTGGAGAAGTGGCTGGTAGCGCTGAAAAGGAAACGCACTTTGGAATAGTCGAAACCACCAAATGGGGGGCTTGAACATTCTGCACTGTAATTTCCCATCCTGATTTCCCCAGGAAGTCCGAACCCTAATGCTGTTTGGAGCAGAGCACAGAACAGAGAGGCCTGCCTGTGTGGCTGGGAGGATGGCTCCCAGCGGACTACAAGCCCCCTTCTCTGTGCTCAGCCTTCTCTTGCTTAACCTCCGCACTACCACTAGGATAACAGGAGTGTTGTCCCACTTTAATGGGTGAGGAAACTGGGACTCAAAGAGGATAAATGACATGCCCCAAGTTACCAGCCACGAATAGCTACTCAACGCATTTGTTCATTGAGCACCTGCTGTATGCTGGCGAGACTACGAGATGATGGAGCTATACAGGTAAGACGTGATCCCTGCCTTCAAGAAGCTTGCAGACGAGCTGCAGAGCAGATGCGGAATTTTTTAGTAAAGGGTGGTAAGAATTCAGGATGCAAGCTCAACTCAGACCTCCAAGGGCACTAGCCACTATCCAACGGCTTTAACACAGGGAGGTGACTCACCCCAGCAGCTGGTCATCGGGCAGAGGCGTGGCTTTGCCCAGCATGGAGGGTGGATCTGAAAGCAATCAACGATCTGAACGCGCGCTTGCCAAAGAAGTCACTTTGAACCAGAGCAGCAAGAAGACTCTCTCTGTCCCATGCCAGTCCTCCTGTGTCCCTCACCTCTCAGGAAACCAGCCTCCTAAGGGAGGCCCATCACCTCATCTAGCACTGGTGTCCCCTGCGGGCTCTCCTGGGAGAGAAGGCAGGATGGGAACAGGTAGTTAAGAGCGAAGGGCTGGCAGGAGGGCAAACCAGCTGATCCATGAGATTTTCACATCAGCTGCTCCAAAGGCAGCTCCCCTGCCCCATCTGTGCAGGGAACTAGGCATCTGGGTGGTGAGGCGTCCAAGAGGAAACCAGCAATCAAGAATGACCTTTGGAACTACGAACGCCCAAGCTGTCTCCTCCACTCTTCCTTTCAGTGTGAAGGTGATTTAAGTCCAAGCATGAGGGATGCAAGAAAACTCACACCAAGCAAGACCATCCTGCCTCCAGGTGGCCTCACAGTCAGTGAGCTCCAAGGGTGAAAAATCCAGATTCACAAAAAAGACAAAGCAGTGAGTGGTTCTGTGCTTTACAGAACACGACCTGAACGATTCCTTCAACGACAGCTTATTCGGTTCAACATCACAGACAACCTATCTTTGGCCAAGGAGGGCCTGCTTCCAATGCTGGAGAGAGAACACATTTCACTGAGTCGGGTTGGAAACTGACCCACCCACAAACACATTTTGCATGTGTAAACTTGGAAATCAGTCGCGAGCCACTCCCTAGTAAGCAGTTGCCTTTGAATCATGTGCCTTCGGTTCCCAATCCAGACAGTGACAACACTCTCTCTCCCTTCCCAAACAGGATGCTCCCCCCACCCCCAATGACGGTGGTTTCTGGGCCTTTGTTCCCGGAGCAGAAGCAGCAGCACCAAGGGCCTGGAAGCTGCCATTCTCCACCCCAAAGCTCTCCTCCGCTGGGCAGACCGGAGTCTTAGAAGCAGAGGAGGCTCTTACAGCCCCTTCCACAGCCACTTTCTTTCCTGTCAGAGCACAGGATGGGGGTGACAGTTTTGGCAGCTTCTGGAACTTTGGGCTGAGAGAGTCACACACCACCCCCACCCCACCCTGCCCCTCCCACATACACTTGCAGGCCGGATCCACTTAATGCAATCAAACAGGCACAGGAGCTACCCGCAGGGCTTGACTGTGCTCAGAATCACTCTCTCTCCCCGTGTCCACAGTTTCATTTAAAGGCCACCAGGCCTAATCTCATTATGGGGACCAGACACTGCGCCTGTCCTAGAGCCTGGAAGCAGGCAGCCTGGCCTGGCCACAGCCCTCCTTGTCCACAGCCGGATTTTAAAATTGGGTTAGAGAAGATTATATTGGGGACAGAAGTTAGAGCTTTTCTTGATAGGTGAGTGCCGGGAGGAGGGGACAACTCAATTGCCCTAGAATATCCCAGAAAGGGAAGGCAAAATGAAGGTTGAGGTGTCATCCAGGACCCCAAGTAGCCTGCGGGAAGAAAGCAAAGCTTGAAATCAAACACTGAGCCTGATTCTCTATTAGGTACAGTGGGCTTGGGCCCAGGGTTCCCAATACTTGCAGGGTCCCACAAAAACTGTTAAGATTTCTGCTATATCAGGAGGAAAAACAAATTCAGTGTTGAAGAAAATGCTTTAATTTTTAATCCAGCCTGGATTATATCTGCTTTATACCAACACAGTTGTAAAATATAGGTGTTTTTTTTTTTAATTATTATTATTTTTGGTGGAAAAAGAGTCCCACCAAGGCAAAAGTGCCTGGGACCCATGAATGCAGCTCTGGTCAAACACACGTGATTTTAAAGCCAGCCCTACTGTTTATGTGCTCCTGGTCAAGCCAAGTCCTCTCTCTGGACCTGCTTCCTCAAGGGCGAGATAGGGGACATCGAGTCCCACCTTACTACTCACTGGCCTAGCAAAAATTAAGAGGGATAACTATGTACGAGAGCCTAGCAAAGTGCCTGCCACATGGTAGGCATTCAGATAACAATCTAATAAGAATAAATCTGATCCTAATAGCAGCTTGGGAAGAGTCACACATCAGAAGTTGTTGACATAGAGGTCTGGGGCCAAAGAGAGCCAGAAGGCAACAGACAGCACTACCCCTCTCATAAATCCATATGCCAATTCTGTCTACTCTCCCGCCGGTCCCCCGCGGCGCAGAAACCCCTGGATCTGGGGCCGATTCCTCCACCAGTGCCTCCTGGTGCTGCTGCCCCACCCCATATTGGGCCAAGGAAAGCGGCCAGGGCTGGGAAGTTGTGCCTGAGCAGGGGTGGCTCCCCCTCCCAGTATGGCAGGCTTCTCCTGCATAGGGGGTGGGCGACGGTGGTGGCAGTTTGCAGCACCCCTTCTCTATGTGGGTCTCACCTTGGCATTTACAGGTTTTCTTTCTGTACCTTCTGCCTCACATCCAATGTCTCAAGAGAAATCAAGAGATCTGTGAGAAGGTGGCAAAGCTTTGGCATTTCTTCATGTGCTATGAAAACAAAGGAATCGAATCCAGAAGTCCTGAGACGGAGCTTCATTTAATGAGACTTAGCAACTCCTCAAAGACTGCCAAGGAAGGGCGTATGAGAGGAGAGGGGCAACCTCAAGGAGAAAGGCTTGCGGGGGAGGGTCCAGCGGGATCCCTGGGGGAAAGAGCAGGTGGAGACGGGAGGTGGCTCTGTCTTAACCCAGGCGTCAAAGGCAGCAGCGGACCCCCACCCTTGGCTCCGTTCTGTGCCCGCTGTGCCCACAGCTCTGGGCCCACCAGGGCCAACCCCATGAGCCAGGGTTTCCCAAATGAGAACTCCTTGGCTAGGTACTTCTCAGCAAGAGGAGAGAGGCAGGCTCAGGGAGGCCCCGCCACCGGCAAAGCAGTTTGGCCAGTCTCGGTTTCAGGTTTCCAAAGAACAGTCGTGGCAAATGTTGGCTGATCCACGTCTACCTTGTTTCTAGAATATGGCCAACTATCAGGCGTGAGCCCCTAGATAAACGTGAGGTCACCTGGCGCTCGGGTCTAACTTCCGCGGACTGGCACGGAGGCTGACCCAGGGCCCGAGGCCGACAGCCCAGGCCCGGAGCGCGGCCTGCTCTCTCACCCCCCACCCCCTGCTCCGCGGGTTCGACAGCGGGTGAGGCGAGGGCCCGGGGCGCTGGCGGGTGAGGGGCTGGAGAAAGACCCGCGGCGGCTCGGGGGGGCGGGCGCGTTCCGCTGCGGGCACACCTGGGCCCCCGCCCCGACTCCGCGCGGGGGCTCGGCTCGCTCCCACCCGCCCCGGCCGCCTACCTGGCCTGGCGCCGGGCCCGGAGCTCGTCCCCGCCGCGCAGCGCCTCACCGCGCACCGGCAGGCGAGCTCTCCGCGCCGCGCCCCTGGCGCTCGGCCGGTTCCGCCCGCCGCGCCCCGCGCAGAGCTACGGCGTCGCCATGACGACAGGGCGGTGGCTGCGGGTGGGGCGCGAGGTGGGAGGTGCGGCGAGGGTTACTGGGGGCAGGGGGCGCCGGAAGTGCCCCCGCGCGTCCCAGCGCGCGGGGCAGGGCCCGGCGCCCACTAGTGCCCCGCTTTCGGGACCGGGACCCCGCCGGATCCCGGGCCCAGACCTTAACGCCGCGCGAAGGAGATGCGGCGCGGGGCGCTGAGGGGCGACAGCTGCGGCCACCGCGACCCCGGCCTTCTGGACCCGAGCTCGGGTAACCTTCGAAATCCGGGCCTCGCGACCCGGGGCGCGTTCAGGGGCGGAAGGGGGTCTGCGACCCGGTGGGTGTGAGGGCCTCCCGCCCAGACCTGACGCGGAGGCCGCGGGCGCTGCTCGGGGGGATGGGCTGCGGGACGGGGACCGGGACCCAGGATGGGCACGGGGACAGGCCCGGGCGCCATGGGAAGGGGCTGCCGGCCGGGAGAGCAGTCCCGGGCGTGGGCTCCGCGCTTCCTGATTCCCTCCACGTCCTCCCTCCGCTTCCCTCCCACCTTTTTCCGCCTTCCCCCTCGCCCCGCCCCGGTCTCAGGTGGCCACTAGGTGTCAGACATGGCCCGGGCCTGGGCCCACGCTGACGCTTCCGCAGCCCTGGGGGACACACCCCTCCCTCCTGGCCCGGAGGGGGATGTCACTGGTGGGCAAGGCTGGACTCACCCCTTCCCCAGTACCGCCTCCCCAACGCGCGCGCGCGCACACACACACACACACACACACACACACACACACACACACGGTGGCTTTTTTCGCAGCCCTTCCTTAAGGGACTTTGTCTGAGACTGACTACCCACCCTCCAGACAAACCAGCCTAAGGGTAAATACCAGTTCTCACCAGCCCTCCTGAAGGCCTAGATCTTACCAGAGGCAGCCTCCCCTGTCCTAACAGCTGAGAGAAGGATGCCAAGGCCAAGGCTGGGGGCCAGCCTCTACCGCAGCCCCCTATCCAGGAAATGCTGTGGATAGATAACAAGTCCAGCTCAGACTTCTCACAAGCTCAGAACAAAAGGTTCTTTCCTGTGGGTTGCCTGGCAAGGCTCACCAAGAGCCTGAGGGTTGGAGGGAAATGGGGTTTCCTCCCCTGGAGTTGTAAAAGAGACACCCCTCCCCCAGGGTGTCCCTCCCCCTCCCCCTACCTCCCACATTGTGGGCTTCCCATGGGCAGTGGCCAAGGGCTCCTGAAGGACCCTGGCCAAAGGGGGCTTGGGGATCCAATTCCCTCTTACAGAGAGAACATACTCTCAAGCCCATGGCAAGACACCAAGGGTGCCCACTCTCGTGGGCACATCTTCTAAGGGGGCAGACAGAGCAGGGCCCACCCCTCAGAGTAACCAAGATTAAACCTGCCACAGCATAAATTTGTTGGAGTAGCTTTCCAGTTGGAGGGAGTTATTGGACATTTTAAATTAAGAAACAGCTTCCTTAGCGTGCCAGCAGGCAAACAGCAGGCAACAAATGCTCTGTGTGTTAAATGTGGAACTGAGCCATTTCCCATTGTTTGGCCTGTATATTTGGGCCTAGAGGAGGAGGACTGGAGTGGGCAGGGTGGCACAGGAGCGGAGCCTGCTGGGAACTCTGTGATTTGAGTGCCGAGCTTCCCTGTGTAGAGCTTTCAGCCCCTTCCAAAGCTGGGAGAGAGATGCCTGCTGAGGCAGGATGGGACCCCTGAGTCCTTCTTCCACCTGCCCCCATGGTCCTATGGGCTTGGGCAGCAGCGTTTTCCTCTCAGAAGGGAGTGAATACCCTGCCAGCTTATAGTGGGGAGGGGAGAGCTGTGGTGCTCTGATGGAGGTAAGGTGCCTCCCTGAGGACCAGCCACACAGAGACTTAGCGCTAAGGACTCAGGGCTCCACTCAACCATTTTAAAGAGCGGGTGATCCCACTAGACAGCCACCAAGCTCCAGAACCCCCAACCCAGGGTGGCAAACACTCCCATTCTCCCCCCACTGCCTGCTGCTGAGACTTCTGCCGCAGAAGCTACAGAAGCTTCCACCCTCAGCTGGGGGCAGAGAGGTAGGTAAGAGCAGGCTAGAGGAGCAGCACCAAGGCACCTTCTTGAGGACGGAGGTTGTGGCCCAGGGCATTTTCCACACAACAACCCCCACCCCCTTACCGCACTCATAAAGCCACACTAGACTCACCAGATTCACTCCTGCCTCTCCTTCCGAATGCCCTGGTTATCACTTGGCTTATTTCTTCACATGTCAACTCCTGAGACAGGCCTTCCCTAAATGTCCAGTCCAGTGGGGTTGAGGTTGAGTTGTAGGGAGGGACTTTGCATTAACTGTGCTCGTGACAGCACTGGGAAACCACAGCTGGCGCTCACCCTCTTCTTTGGCCAAAAAAATTTATTTAACAAATAGGAGGAACCAAGAGAGCAGAATGTACTTCATGAGTAGGGTTTCAGATGCCCCTGGGGAACCAGGCTGTTCAGCGCTGCCCTTACTAGGGTTCCCAGACTGAGAAAGAAGGATTCCCAGTTAAATTCTAATTTAGTATTGTTTTTGGCATCATCATGCTCCACTGATGTGTAATATACCGAAAATGTATTTGTCATTTATTTGGTATTCAGATGTAGCTGGATATCCTGTATTACCTGGCAAGCCTATCTTGCTCCAGTGTGGGAAGGACAGGAGAGGAGCCTCCTAGCCATTCCAGCCCCACCCCCTCCCGGCAGAGCTCCCGCACCTCCAATAGGCTGAAACACCCAGTTCACTCCTGTTCAGAGTCAGGTCAAGGTGCATCTCATGCACATTCCTCTTCAGCACGGGATGTAGACAGAGGCCTTTACCTTGGGATACAGAGATTGCGAAAGGCATAGGAGACGGGGTTCCCCAGACCAAAGTCTCTGTAAGACACGCACACACAGAATTCACTCACGCTTTACAGAGGCGATTTATCGAGTCCCTTCTGTGTGCCAGGTGCTGGGCGACCCTGGGACAATATCAGTGGATACGACAGGCACAGCCCTTTTCTTTCAGGCCTCAGCTCATAGAAAGGCAACCCAGATGTGAGAGTCAGGGAAGCCTTCTGGAACCCTGACATAGACTCAGAGAGCTGCAGGACAAGCAGGGGTTCCGCTGGCAGAGGGACCATGGGGAGAGGGCAGGAGTATCCCAGCCGAAGACACAGCTAGAGCGGCTAGAACATTGTGCAGGAAGGTGAGCATAGCCTAACTTCGTACACCCTCCGGGCTCCCGGGCCACCACCGCCAGAGTCCACAAGCTTGCCCCGAAGCCTGCGCGGGCACGGGGAGCTGAGCCTTGCCTTGGGATGGCTGATCACTGAAAGACGCTTACTCTGGCCTGTCTGCGGAGGCAGGAGTCGCCCAGGGCGTGGGGTGGCCCCATCAGGCCCCCTCCCAGAGGAACTTGTTCCAGCTTCCTCGAAAAGAATACGAGTCTTATTCTGAAAGTACCCAGCCACTTTGATGAGCTGCAGATGAGACGAATCCCTCAGGGAGAAACCCCCCTCTTTCGGTTTGGGGGGGCACGGGCCCCAGCAGGAGCAGCAGGAGCAGCAACGATGGGGAAGGGGTGGCAGGGAGGTGGGGGGGGAGGGGGCGGGGCTGGCTCCGGATGAAGACAGTCAGTCACCTGGGACCTCTGGAATTCTGGGGCATTGGGCTGAGGGTTGTCACAGGCTGTGGGTCCCAGGCTGATGCCAAAACTAGTCCAGTCTGGGAAGACAAGACTCAGACAAACACACTAATTTAGCCCTGCAGGACGGCTGGAGAAGCAATGAGAATCAGCGGAGTCAGGCCAGCTTTTCCCTCTGCCCGCTCTGAGGGAACCGGCCCGGGTTAGATAAGCAGTGAGGACCAGCCTGGGGCAAGAGGGGGTGTGAGAGCCCTGGATGCACAAGGTGGGGGGCCATGAAAGGGGCGGGCTTTCCAACCTCCCAGGGTGTTTCTAATGACACATACGCACAGACATGTATGTGTGCACCCACACACAGAAACCTAGTTGCGCGTAACAGCAAGTGTTACAAAGAAGATTAAGCAGGAGAAGGGCCGGAGTGTCACAGGAGGAAGGCTCTCTGAGGAGAGAGGGATGCAGGCCCTGTGGAGATGGAGGGGAGGTTAAGTCCAGCAGAGGGAAGAGGGAGGAAGGGCAAAGGCCCTGAGGCAGGAATGTGCATGGTCAGCTCCATCCCGTCTGCCCTCTAACACTCCTCTCCCC